GTGTGTGTGTGTGTGTGTGTGTGTGTGTGTGTGTGTGTGTGTGTGTATGTGAGTGAATTGATTTGTTTTTTGTTTTTATTTTTTTTTAGCTCCCACCAATAAGTGAGAACATGTGGTATTTCTTTTTCTCTGCCTGACTCGTTTCACTCAGTATTATTCTTTCAAGGTCCATCCATGTTGTTGCAAATGGCAGTATTTCATTTGTTTTTATAGCTGAGTAGTATTCCATTGTGTAGATATACCACATTTTCCGTATCCACTCATCCGATGATGGACATTTGGGTTGATTCCAGCTCTTGGCTATTGTGAAGAGTGCTGCAATGAACATTGGGAAACAGGTATACCTTCGACTTGATGATTTCCATTCCTTTGGGTATATTCCCAGTAGTGGGATAGCTGGATCGTATGGTAGATTACTGCCCACTTTTAAAACTTCTTTCTATATATTTTTATTTGGGGGGCATCTGGTCAGTATGGGAATCTGAACCCTTGACTGTGGTGTTATCAGCACCACGCTCTACTGATTGAGCTAACCAGCCAGCCCATGTTTCTAGATCTTATGTAATATGAACAAATTGGTTACTTTCTCAGTTCACCTCCTATAAATCAATTAATTACATACAATTTCTGTGTGACCTATTTTAAGTTCATCTCTCCCTTTATCCAGGAAGAATGCATTTTTTGCATTATTAAAAATTTTCTAGTTTGTTTAAACAATTAGATGACATTAATATTTTTGACTACCACAATGATATTTATCCAAAATTACCTTAATATCTTATGAAACAGACAGGATTTCATGAAGGAATACTGATATCATTTTAGATTTATTTGGTTTTTAGTCTCTGGGGGGAAAAAGCAATCTCAGTGTGCACCTCAATTTTTCATATGCAGATAAATTGGCATCATTGTTGCATATCATAATTAAATTTCAGGAAACCATTCCTATTTTCAAATATTGTAATATGTGTTTAAATACAGAGTGGTACTTTTCACTTTGAGCTGAACTTGAAGTTCTATTCATTTCAATTTAGAAACAGAAATAATATGTTTTAGATTAAATAATTCTTCTAGTTAAGAAAGAGTATGTAATTTTAAAAATTTGTATAAATTTAGGAAATATTAAACACCTAATATTAGCCAGCAATGTGCTTTTTACTCTTTGAACTGTGATGAAGACACAGGCACCCATCAACAGTAAATGATTAGTGACAAAATAAGTAGAGGTAAGAGCAAGTCTTTTTTCCAAGTAGAAAAGGAAGAGAGAAAACACTTATTGAAGAAGTTACCCTGGGTTCAGACTTCAAATGGATGTGAAAAGTAGTATGGGAGGGCAGACCGGCATACTTAACAGAATGAGCAGAGACAGGAAGGAAAAAAATGAATAATAAATGTTCATTGAATTAGATAAAAATCCCTTTAGCAGAGTGAATTTTGTTCAGAAACAGTATTTTCTAAAGTTAGCTAGTGAATAGAAGTACAGTGTATGCATAAAAATCATATTATATATATATGAAATTATGGCACACTGCTTTTTCCAAAAACAGCCATCACAATTTATCCAATTCCATATGCTCTTCTTACAATGTTACCTTGACATTTCTCCCATCGCATGGTGGCTCCTAAATCCATCCTCTTGAAATCAGGCAGACCTTTTGTGACTGCCTCAACAAATAGAGTACGACATAAATGATTCTATGTGACCTTCAAGGCTAGGTCATAAAAGTGCCATGCACTTTGCCTTGCTCGCTTGAATGCTGCTCGTGGAACCCAAACTCTATGCTGTGAGCAATCCAAGCAGTTTCCAGATGACAACCCCAGCTGAGGTCCCAGCCAATAGCCAGTATCACTCACTAGACATGTGATTGAGACTTCAGGTGATTCCAGACTCCAGCCTTCCAGTTAACCCTGAATTGCAAGCCAGCCAGCTGACACTGTGAAGTAGAGATGAGCTGTTCACTCTGAAATTTCCCCAAGTTACAGATAAGTGAATAAGGTAAATGACTATTGTTGATTTAGGCCACTAGGTTTTGGGTGGATGATTATACATCAGTCCAAAACAATGATATATCTGTATATAAAATATTTTATATCATTTCTTATTTATTCATTTATATACCTAATATTTATTTGTATTCTACTAGTAGGTATTCACTAGTGGGTCAATCACTCTGCTAGTCACTGGATATACAAGCAGCAATAAAATGTGTATCCAACACACTGCCTATCATAGATCTTTTATGGGTCTATAATACTTAATGGTGTGAGAAATACTAATTCGCTAAGAAAAAATCATTTACAATCTGAAACATTTTTGGAGTAAGTTATAGAACACATCTAAATGATAATATTGCTGACGTAGTATACTGTAATCTTAAGTTTAAAAAATTAATGAAGCTTTAACTATAAAAATAACTAGAAAATAAACACAAAATGTCTATAAATAAATTGTTATTTAGTTATTCACTTTAGTGAACATACTAAAATGGACTTATTCAAATCAAAGTTATCCTACACAGTAGTCACCTCAAGAAGATTTATACTTATCCCAGAGACAACACCATTGCTGAAAACATTTTGTGATTCTTTTACAGCAGATGAATGAAAGAGGTTTATAAATCAAAGTGTTTTAGTCCGGTTTGTGTTGCTATAACAGAATTACCTGAGACTGGGTAATTTATAAAGAAGAGAGGTTTACTTGGCTTATGATTCTGGGACAGCTGCATCTGGCACGGGCCTCAGGCTGCTTCTACTCATGGCGGAAAGCAGCAAGCAGCTGGTGGATACAAGCAGATCACATGGTGAGAAGAAGGAAGAGAGAGAGAGGAGGTGCCAGGGTCTCTTTAAACAACAAGCTCTTGCCGGAGCTAATAGAGCAAGAACTCACCTATTAATCCCCCATCTCCCAGGGAGAGCATTAATCCATTCATGAGGGATCTGCCCCCATGACTCAATCAGTTTCCAACACTGCCACATTGGGGATCAAATTTCCACATGAGTTTTGGAGGGGACAACACATCCAAACTCCATCACAAAGGAAGCTTAAATATTGCTATAAGGAGTCAAATGTGTTTCTCAAAAGTTCATGTATTGGAAACTTGATCTCCACTGTAACAGTGTAAAGAGGGTGGGAAATCCTATTATGATATTTGAAAGGTAGGGCCTTTGAGAGGTGATTTGACATGAGGACTCTGTCCTCATGGATAGATTATTCCATTCATGAGTTAACTTGGGTGTGGACCGGTGGCTTTATAGGAGCACAAGAGAGAGCTATTACTCATGCCACTCTTTCCCTGTGACACCTGCATCTCTGTAGAGAGTCACCACCAGGAAGGCCCTCACTAGATGTGCCTGCTGGACAATGGACTTCCCAGCCTCCAAAACTGTAAGAAATAAGTTTCATTTCTTTATAAGTCACCCAGTTTCAGGAATTCCATTATAAATAACAGAAATGAACTAATGC